CATTGCTAAAAGAGTATAAAAGGGAAACTAAAGAAAATTGAGTGCCAGTTAACTACCAATGAGGGGGAATCATTAGCATATTACAGAGCCGTAATGTTTATCACATAAATTTCAAATTTAATTCAGATCCATACAAGGTAGAAGAAATTTCTTGCCCTTCCACGTTCTTAATTTTTTTTTTCTGCGAGGCATAACTGCAGCCCGGCCTTTATACTGAGCTTAGTCTTATCTACTGTTCACGAGCACTCCTAAGCGAGACAAAACAAACTACGTCGCCACTCTCAATATTTTGATTTAAAGAAGGTACTGTCTCCAAATCTCAAAAACATCTTGCGCAACCTCTAAATATGCCCAGCGGGGTAAAGCTAATACCAAGCATATGCAGAGTGAAGGTCATCTAACAAAGTCTTTAGGTAAACGAAAAATAACAATGAAAGTAAAAAATTGTAATGTTGAATTGATCGTTGAATTGAAAATAACAAGAATTTCACAACACAACGCTAGTAGTGAAGTGATATGGATTTTATTGCACGAGTTTCTGGAAAACGTTACGTAAAATAACGTTTCACAATGTGTTGACAATCGTGAGGAATTTCCATGAAGTGATTGGAAAGCGCATCTGTCATTAAACTGGCAGAACATTTTTGAATGAAGCAGGCGGTATAAAAGGTCAGTTACATATTTTTCATGTGACCATGGACTGATTTTGACTGCATTCAAAAATTGGGTCGAAAGAGTACAATCGTAAAGCGAGGGGTGCACGAGCTCTCAACCGATAGATGTTTTTCTAATCTTGCAGCGCAAAATTTCCCGGCTCCATTTCCTAATTCAATAAGATACAGATGTATTTCTCCGTAGCCTCTCAGACGTTCGTGATATTTCGAGGATGGAAAGTGACCTCTGCGAGTGGTAAGTCTCAAATAATCAGATCATTACTGAACGGTTTCTACCTTTGTGCTTTTGTTCCGTTTACTTTGGTCTTGCCTACTTTCTTTCTCGTTATTTGTACGTTCACCTCGCTAATATTTGCAAGAATTAGAAGATACTATAACATTCACGATCTCCAGATGCACCGCTAGACGCTGAAAAAACCACAGGTCGCTATCAAACAGCTTTCATTGTCATGTATTTGTTGTTACTTGTCTTAAAAATTTCTTCTCTCTGAATATCACATGTGCCAAATTCCTTGGAAGAAAGACCCTGAGCCTGTGTCAATCGATATTAAGAAATAGGAAAAGCAATTTGTTGCCGGAAAAGGGAACTTTCTCCATAGTCACATCGATGTGATACTTGCTTATTTCTCTTGACCAGCGCGACTGTGGAGCAGGAAGTGTAGAACAATTTGTGAGCAATGAATACCGTCTTGATTTTAATGAATTTATCTATTCCAGACGCTGGGGGATCTTTCCTGGCGGTGTTTGCACTAGCAGTCCTGTACGAGTGCTACAAGGGACTTCACATAACATTAAAACAACGTTTAAAAACGAGGAGTTACCGCGGGTCAACAACCAGTGTGCTAGCGTCCAGAATACATACCGCTATCAAATGGTAAGTTTGATGATCGAAACTTAGGAGCGGGAATAGAAGCAGAAGGGTAAAAGTTTTGGTACTCTAAATAACTAAGTACTATTTTTCGAAATTGAATTCTGGACGACAAGTTCCGTTCATAAGTCTTCTCGTCCCTTTTTCGCCACTTGCAGAAGAACGTTTTTCTAAATAATTTTTTTATTATAAAACAAACCCCAAAAGGCCACAGTCTGCGTTAGAAACCAATAAAATTAACAATAATGTCGATAACAATATCGTTCGTGAGACTATATTTATCTAATAGTAAGGAAGACTGGCAAAGTTTCAAGTTATCAATTGTCAACTTTTTTTTTTATCTTTTGTTTTACTAAACAGTCGTGACCTTGTGATGCAGTTTTCCGAGACGTGTCTCTTCGTAACCGAACTGGCTTTCGCTTATTTCTTGATGTTGATCAGCATGACATACAACGCGTCTTTATTTGCGGCTGTTGTTACCGGTCGAGGAATGGGTTATTACTTAACGACGCCACTTGTTGATACCTACATTACCAAAAGCGAGAAGACTGGTGATTACAGTGACTTTCGACGGAGTTCAAAGTCAACACTAAGAAAGCGGGAGCCACTGATCAAAGGAACAGACATATAAGCTTATCGGACAGAAGGATCACTAAATAAAAATAGTTTTTAAACTATAAATGTAAGTAATTGGATAAGATAAAACACAATTAAAAGTGTTTTATCTTATCCATTTATTTATTTTTTTTGAGGGTTGAAATGCTAGAGCGGATTAGAAAACATACTAAAACTTCTCTTATTACCACATACCGGTTCATTATGCGACCCAGGTCTCTCAGTTTTCAGGCTCTCTGTCACTGCAACAGCCTCGACGGCTTACTTGCCATTTTTCGCGTTTTTCGCATTTTTCACCTTTTCGTTCGTCTTCACTAACTTAGAGCCTGCACATGCCGACGAACTCTAAACTAAGGGAATCAGGGAAACTTTTTAATGTAATCTCTACAACGAATAACAGATTAAAACCAAACATTATGGTCCGCACCGCAACTCTTTTTGTTGTAACACACAAATAACGTGAATCACACGTTGTATTTTCCTTGCTGTTTCCTTTCTGTTCATTTAAAAACTTTGGACAAGTTGAACAAGATGTTCATCGGGATGTTACCTACTGATCTAAACGGAGCTATGCAGGTTATGTCCTATGGAATAGAATTATTAAAAATACCTCTTTTGCGTCGGTTGAAAATGTAATGTCGACGTAACAGTTTAGAACGTTTTTACCTTGAACGACTTAAGGTTATTGTGATACTGTATTACGACTGATTTTTCTCTTAAAGCAATCATTTATTTTGCTTCATTTGCAATTTTTTCATTAATTTTTAACATCCTGAGTTGGTCAGTTGTAGGCAAGGACATTGTCAAGCGCATGGTAAGTCAGATTGGAAAATAAATACTCCGGGGGAAGATACAGCACATGCAACATCTGAAGGGGTTCGAATAAAAGGCGTCAGCTTTTGCGGTTGAATGCGTCGGTATTCATCAATTCATGAATTCATTCTTTAATTAATTTTCATTTTCCACAGACCTAAGCAGCCAATTACTAGTTTCGTCGAGTAGCAATGCCTCATCGTCACTTTCGAGAGAAGGCAGAACCTATTACGTGCTGTAATGAGATCCAACTCGACTGCCTTTGTTTCCTAGAATGTAAGGGACCGGATGTCTCATTTTTTCTCCGTACGTCTCTTTCACGCGAACGGTTCTGCATCAAACAATGGGTATTTCACAACAACTCCAGGATATCTGCTTCCCAACATTTCCACTTCTACTCGAGAGCCCAGATCAGTTAAAGGAGGAGGTAGATAGGCGAAACATATACTCTTGTTAAGCTGATAGCTGTAGGAACCACTCGAGGTAAATCCTACAACCTGTTGGAATTGATAGCAGAAAAAAATAAGTTATCATCAAGTCAACCGTAGCCAATGACAGAAGCAAACGTAAACGACGATTCTTCCGTCGTCATACTCACTTTTTTGCCATTCCAAACAGTTTCGTTTCCCTCGGGGTCCACATCTGTTGTATCCACCGTCATGAAACATAGGACACGCTCACAGTCATCTCTTTTCAATTTAAGGAGAGCTTCTCGTCCAATGAATTCAACACCCTATGCAAATGCATGAATAAGTCAGGAGTTCGGTAGAATGCCTTTGAATGTGATCAGTCTTTCTAATGATAAATACCTTACCTTGTCTAACTTTACAAACGACATTAAATCTGCTTCAACGGCGGTAGTTGAAGTATTCATCTGCGAAGAAAATTGCAATAGCTGTTGAAAAAAATGCCTTATAAAAGCGTGCAAGGATTACTGGAACGTTCTTCGGTAAAAGTAATAATGAAGGCAGAGAATGTGTCTTAAACCTTTAGCGTGACGAAACAGGGCTTGCCGGAGGAAACTGAAGAAAACTTATGCTGCCAACTTTTATTCTCTGCTTCTCCTACGCGAAGCTTAATTGTGGAAAATTTGGCGCATAAAGAGGGAAAGAATAAATGGTGTAAGAGTATAGTTGCATTTACATCGTAAGGTTAAGCTACGTTTTGCAATACCTCAAAGCCCCACAGGCGGAATCCTTTCTCCAGTCTGAGGGAATTTAAGGCGTAGGTGCCAAAGTCTCCAATGCCGTGCTCCTCACCAGCTGCTAACAGAGCCTCATACAAATCTGCTGTGTGTTCCTTCATATGAAATAACTCCCATCCCAACTCACCTTGGATAAAACGTAAAAGTGAATTTTGAAGCAGCCCTAAGACGACTTACTGATGGAATATTTATTAATCGTTGTAGGTTAACTCATCTTAACAGCTTTCAAAAATGTAAATCCATTGCCCTCAAAACTTTAAGCGCTATATACCACAAGTTTCAAATGTGGTCAGGTGAATAAATAGCCCAATTGGCATAAACAGTTAAGGCAGTCGTAGAGGAATCGACCTAGACATAAGTAAACTCATGAATGAATAATTTAAAGACAAAATCATAGGCCGAGCCCGGCAATACAAAACTAGCATTTTCCCTTCAAACTTAAGTACATTATACCTTTCAACTTGTGCTCACACCTTTCCTAAGGGAAAGTTGTAAGAGAACGAGAAAAATTTTAAAATAATGTACCTGTTAAAGAAAATCGACTAGCCTGCACGGGGATTCCTTCAAGCTCTAAGTTGTGATATGCCAAGTATGGAAATCTTTCATCGCTTAGGTTTGATGATGTCATCTTTGATAGAACGTCGCGTGAACGAGGCCCCGCGATGCCCAGGCAGGCCACGTCATCAGTGATATTCGTGATGACGATATCATAATTATTTTTGCGTTGATTTGCCAACAACCATCTGTGCACAAACAGCTTAGTGTTAGCACAGCTACCAAGTTATTTTCATTGTGTGAATGATAATCAAAGGGAACATAACAATAAATATAATACAAAAGATGGTAAATGGTTGTATTCAGGCCAACGGCACTGAAGGTAACTCCAAGTTATCTACACTTCCTCCTGCTTCCTTTGTGCACATCTTAACTCATTTCTAAATGCGCACAAAGAGGGGTAAAGTCAGCCTCACGACTCTTCCTTCCCTCTCTGCCACACCCACAGAAATCAACGCATTCTCCTCTGGGTGTTTTTGGGGGTGAATGAAAATTTTAACTTAAAAAAATTGTAACATTGGGAAAGCAGAGATGGCGGAGATGCAGAGATGACGCGAAGGTTCAAGGTCGGTTCCCAAGCCTGGCGTCACATTTGAGTTTTTCTTTTGGTTCTTCTTTCTCTGCAATATTCAACCCTCAGAAATATTCATCCACCTTGGAAACACGGGACCAAGAACCAAACCTCGCGGATGTGTCACTGCTAAAATCCAACTTTTGTTTAACTTATCTATTTCTCAGACTCTTCCCTGAGATATAAAAAATAAAATCCATTTTCGCCAATCAAATTCTCTAAGTGAAGGATAACTATGTGGTTGCAAAAGTACCTGAGATCATGAAACTCTGTATTGCTTCTCGTGACCAAAAGATAACGATCCGACGCCAAGCAGGTGACGGTCATTTCCGCGTAAACTTTACCTTTTGGTGTCAGCATGTGGTTTATGTTTGAGCACCCCACCTTAAAGCAAAGAGCTCATTATAACAAGCGCAGATAGGACATAACTCAACTTAACTTACTTTCGTTTAGAAGGAAAACTATGGTTTGAGACTATTAAATTGCCATCGATATATTTCCACAACGGAACACACATCGTCAGTTAAGAAAATTAAGAAACTTATACATGATGAAAGCTGAACAGAAAGAAATTGATGGATCGAATGATTTGATCTTCTAGGAAAGGTTAATTCTGAAAGTAATGCATTCAGTAACAGTGACTGCCATTCCGACAATATGGGTGAGAATCATTAACTGGTCAGTTCTATCAGGACGGAATGGTCTGTTAGGCTCAAGTAGCATTCGTCACTAGTGATTGGTCAGTCTTAATGTTTGGAGGATACGTTTGATTCTTTGATTCTTGGTTAAGTAAACGTTCATTTTGACAAAAAAGGTGACCCCTTGTCAAAAAATAATTCTAGTGCCCTAACATTTTATAATATAACGATACCCACTTTAGGCAATTCATTAGCAAAAACCCTATCCAAGAAGTCAGCTGCATCTCTTCCTTTGACCTCAAATTTCCCGTAAGGAGTTAGGTCTATGATACCGACTTTACTCAGCACCAAGTCACATTCCCGTCCAACCGGCTCAAACCAGTTTGTTCTTCGAAAACTGGGCTTGAACCCAGGCTCATCCCCCGAGTGCGCAAACCAGTTTGGTTGCTCCCAGCCAGCACGTTGTCCCATCTGCGCTCCTCGCTCGCAAAGTCTCTGAGGAGATAAATAAGGAATCAATGCAAAGAACACACTGTACAAGACGTATATGCTTTGACATTGCTCTTACAAATAATATCACGTTACCATATATTTATAATCTCAGTTTTGTCAGTATACACTTTGTGACATGATTGCAAAGGCGAAAATACTCCAATATTGCTATCAGAGAGGGCGTCATTTGTATACCAAAGTTAATCATAACCATTACAAATTCCTCAAATATGATTGGTGCATTCGCAGCTTCATTTACACTTATCATTCAGCACAGTTGTAATCGGACAGTTGGCTGTAATCGGACACCTGTAATCGGACAATTGAAACAGTCAATCATGCTAAGTCCACTCAGCTAATCCACCAATCAAAGAAATAATCAAATAACCATAGCAACAACCACTTATCCAAAGAAAAACTGAGGAATTTCCAAAATGGAGGAATTTTTTAACTAAAGACATTGTCTCCACTGGAGACATCTGTTCTAGGTGTATTTGTTTTTTCGGAAATTGAAATGGCTATGGTTAACAGGTAACAAGACTTCTTGGCGTCCAATTCTGTCTGTAATCATACTCGTAATTAACAAATCGGACTCCCATTTCGCGGTCGTCCGATTTCGTCAATCTCTGTATGATTAAACATCGAATTGGACTCCACTTGGTTCCTACCATCATCAATCACCTTCGTAAAACAACAAGTACTCTTTTTTACATTTTTGGGAAATTCAAAATTTCTTAAAATGTCTCTAAAATGTTTTTCAAAAAGATCCTCGACAATTTCAGTTTCGAGTCTTCTCATATTTCCATCCTCTAGTTTCCTGTAAACAGTCTATCTCTCTCGCAAGGCCTAACACCGCTATCCACAAAGGCTAGGTAATTTCTGGTCAAATTTCAGTTACCTTATATATCCCATTAGTCCTCACAGGGCGCCCAGCCCACCTCTCTAACTTAGGATGCATTATCTGATTATTCAAACCGTACGTCTCTCGACACTTTGCTAATACGTATTCCCTGGAGGCCCAGTTTCCATAGCGACCAGGCTCACATTCAATAAGGTCGAACGGCGGTTCTCCATCAATCATCCAATCAGAGAGATATTTACCGATCCCACCTGAGGAAAGAAGAATGCAGCGAAGACATAGGAAATGGAAATAAAATCAAAACACGAAGTTTAAGGGACTGGCTCACGCATGCGCAAGCTGCACAATTTAAGTTGATAACCATCAGGTTAGACTATAATAGTTACACAATAATAAGCCTCAATAATGACTATAGACAGCTGTAGGTTTCAATGCAAATGCACTTTACGCTGCCGCTAAACAAGTCATTTCC